TTTCCAACCTAGGGCGTCAACCTGAGTAGGGTTGTAGGCGTACTGTTGTAAGTCCTACAGTTCTTCAAAGGGTAGCGCATCAATGAGCAGTCCAATGTGCTTGGTGTATGATCTTGTACATATGTTCATATTGTATAAACTGAATTGATATCATCTGTCATCTAGCTGTTGGTAATTCTGTTTGTGTCCGGACGACTTCCACTTGGATCATCAACCTGAGAAGGAATGTAGGCGTACTGCTGTAAGTCATACGGTTCTTCAAGGCTAGCTCGTCAAGGCAGAATCCACAACATTTGATGTGTTGATTGTACATATGTTTGTGTTAAATAGTTGTGTGAGTTCCAATTGATGTAATTGTTGGTTAATCTTGTTTGTGTCTGGACATTCCACAACTTACAATCGTCAACCTATGAAGGTTTGTAGGCGTACTGGTGTAAGTCCTGCAATTCTTCAAGGGTATTCCATCAAGACATGAAATGCATTCTGCAAGAGTCATTCTAACAAGCGGCGATTGTGTTGCAAGTAGACGTGTTAAGAGAATGCCTTTATCTGGAGGCGCAGGTCGTCATTGATATGTGAGATTGTGCTGTGGGTGGTATGCTTGTGGTGTGTTGGCTTTTCTGTTTGTTTTCCATTTCAGCTGTGTCCGTGTGACGCAGGTTCTCGCAATGGCATCCAAGTCAACGTGCATTGATCGTGAAGGAAAAAGGGTTGGATCCCTTTTTTGCCGGGAGTGTCAATGGAGTTGAAGATTGAGCGATCAATTCTTGGTTGTTTGCTCAAAATCAACTTCCTCGATTTTCGCGGAGGCATCAATACGACAGTCATCGTCTCATCGGTCGCTGTTCAGTAAGAAGAGCGAAACATCGTCAGAAGTAACAACGATTTATTATTGTAATATCTGTTTACAGACCTTAGTTCGTTTATTCCTTTTATATGTTGGTGTAACAATAAAGAAATAACAAGCAGCAGATCGGTGTTTTGGTTTTTGCGTCCGAAATTACTAAGCGTTTCTGAAACTCAAAGGAACAGCGTGGGCCCGAGCGTAGCGAGAGCTGAGCATTAACGGTTTAATGAGACGAGACTGACAGATGGTGTTGATCGAATGTTAGTTTTATGAGTATTTCATGATACGTGTAAGACTTTGCAGCCATATTTGAAAGTCATTCGATTTACTGGTAAGTTAAATTTGGAGAGGCAGTGGTTAAATCGGAAGTATCATCTTGCTGTTCTGGTTTCTTTAAAAATCTGGGTAGCCTTCCGAGTTCCCTACATTGTACGAGCGTTTCATGCGCAAATGTTTGTTTTGACTTCAAAGTAAGAAGACAAATCGGATGGGTGTCTTTCCAGAGGCTTTCAGAAGCCGGCCACATTCTAATTAAGACGTATTTTATGTTGATAGTTTCGGAGTACTCTGAAGTTTATGTAGTGTCTAGATTGGTTTTCCGTGATTGAATCGAAATCCACTCCCAAAACTCCACCTTCTCACAGGCTTACAACCGGCTAGAAACTAAAGAATATGTCGAAAGTTGAGGTAAATGACTGTAGCACTTATTTGCCAGGTGGTGATGCACGTGCAGTACCATGTCTGAGCTAATTAATTATTGAGGTTCCACATGTAGTGAGACCGAACTCACCTCCCTGTCACCTGGTTGTCGATGTCAAGAATCCGGGCATTCACATTCACTGCAGACTCCGCCATGCTGATATACACCAGATAGAACATGCCATCCATCAAAACTTTGGGTGGCCACTGTGGCATCATGGTGTCTCTGAGCTCTATCACCTGTGATATCTGTGGCTGAGGGAAGCCACCTCTACAGCCATCGCGAGTGCTCCTCATAACCATATTAACACAGGTACAGAAGCAAAGATTGGGTGCTTGTATCATGGAGGCACTCACAACTTCGAAACGAGAATACCGGAGTGTGAAACGGTGCAACCACTCTTGGTCTGAATTTCAGTGGGCATCGAATTTCTCTGCTCGGGACCCCACAAACACTACACTGTAACCGCAGTGTCGTTCTTAAGAGTCAATTTATTGCTAATATCTGCAGTGCTTTCCGTACGACTGCGTTCGGCCCACATGGCTGTTTATTTCGCAACGGAGAGTGATTTAGTTTTTTGGTTCATTAACGTTCTCAGTGGAGCAGGGCTTCAAGCTAGGGCTTTGAAGTTTCGGTAGCAGTGGCATTTGTTTTATGGGGTGGAGTTACTAGCCTAATGCACAACCTTCCCTCTTTACTAGTTATATTACTGGCTTAGCGGGGCAAGGGAGTGCATCGGCCAGATATAGGACCCTGGAACACAAGCATGGCTGTTGGCTTTTCTACCGTTAAGCCACCGAGAGCTGAGTGGTTTACTGGAGAGCACTAATCGGACAATTAGCGCCCTTCTTCGCCATTCTCTCTGTCGATTGACGATAAATACCTCGTATGATGTAATATCCCTTCCCCCACTCCCCGACCACTCCTCCGTTCATCCATCCATGGACATTTCTCCTACTCCACTTCTGTTTACTCACGAATCACATCCCGTAGTTGAGGTTCAAACACCAGTCCTATCCTTTGCTCAGTTAGGTTCGAGAATCGCGTAATTGATTGGCAATAGCCTATGATAGGGCATGCACTAGAGATGTGTCATCTAGCTATCGGTGTAGAAACACATACGGTCTTCCTATTTGTGGATTTTTTTCACTCAATTGGCATTTATTTTCATTTCTGCTGCCCATCAGGATGAAGGTGAAAATTCTACTCCCCATCTGAGAGGCCATTTGAAATCACGCATGCACAACACCTAAATACGTGTTTCATGAAAGATTGTCACTGTTGCTGCTCACTTTAGTCAGCTGGGACCCTACCGTGCATTCTATCAATACAGCCTTCCCAAATTCTACAAACTAGCAGCTTGATGAACAGATTATCAAGTCTCCTAAACTTGACACTGAGGAGAGGAGACAGAGAAACGAAGGGAGACTGTATAGATTGCGAGGGATTCACTCCCACTCTTTCAGTTTGATGCAGGCTAACTTCACGCATGCTGTTCAATATGTGTTCTGCTTTGTTTATCTGTCTGCTCATCCGATTGTCTAAAAACATTGGCGGGCTCCTGAGAAGCCACTCAGCTCTTCAGACTCAGATTTATTGGTTACTATGAGTGAGAGCATAAAAGTTGTGTGCCGTGTGAGGCCACTTAATGAGCAAGAGAAAGCAAACGACAGCAAGTTTGTGGTGTCATTCCCCGGTGATGGAGACACAACTGTATTTCTTGGGGTATGTTTGATGGTTTTCAAACTTGTGACAACTCTTCTATCTAGGGTAAAATGTTTAGCTTTGATCATGTAGTTCAGCCGAAGGCATCTCAGTTAGAGGTGTACGAAGTTGTGGCCAAGCCTATTGTTGCAGATGTGTTGAATGGATATAATGGAACAATATTCGCCTATGGTCAAACATCGAGTGGAAAGACTTATACTATGGAGGTATGACATTCTGTTTTCTGATTGTTTCTCCTCAGGGTATTTTAGGTGACCCAGTTTTTCAAGGTGTTATCCCGCGGATAGTTGATGATATATTCAACCATATATACCAAATGGACGAGAACTTGGAGTTCCACATTAAGGTAATTTTTGTGGTGCTGCTCTTCTTATCTTCAGGTTTCTTACTTTGAAATATACATGGAAAAAATCCGTGATCTGCTTGATGGTAATTTTTTCGCTCTAACTTATATCTTGATTCAGTTTCAAAAACAAACCTACCGGTGCATGAGGACAAAGACCGAGTTCCTTACGTGAAAGTAAGATATAATTCCTCCTAACGAGAATGTTTAAGGGTATCACGGAAAAGTTTGTTTCCACTCCAGAAGAGCTTTTCAAAGCGATTGACGAGGGGAAGGCTAACCGTCATGTAGCCGTGACGAGTAAGTATTCTTAGTATATGTCGTACCTGAGTGTTAGCTAGTCGTGGTGGTTTGACTGAAATATTGCTTTTTTGTGCATGAAATTCAAGTTATCTTGGGGTTTATGTGACGCTAATGTTTGACTTCTTATCCATTTATAGACATGAATGAGCACAGTTCTCGAAGTCACTCAGTTCTCCTGATCAATGTTCGACAAGAGAACTTGGAAACTCAAAAGAAACTACATGGGAAACTTTATCTTGTTGACTTGGCTGGTAGTGAGAAAGTTGCGAAGACAGGCGCTGAGGGTACTGTGTTGGACGAAGCCAAAAATATTAACAAATCACTTTCTGCTCTTGGTAATGTGATCAATGCACTTGTGGAAGGAAGCGTAAGTTTATGCTCTCAGGTTGTGGTGGTGGTATTGTAGCCAGTGTTGACTTTGAATTTCCATGTGATTAAGACGCATAAGATATTGAATTGTTCTGTGTTGATCACGCCTGTTTGTATGTGCTCGCTTGTTAGCAGAGTTCTGTACTGTGTGTTTCTGAGGCGGAAGAACCCATCACACTAACTCATATATTTAGCTTCTACTGCGACTAGAATCTCTTGTCTGCATATGTTGTGCTTATTTGAAGATGACTGCCACTACCTTATCAAGCTATTGATCTGTTAAATGATTTCCTGTTTTAGTCTCACGTCCCTTATCGTGACTCTAAACTAACTCGCATTCTTCAAGAATCTCTTGGAGGGAATGCACGAACAACTATGGTGATCTGTTGTTCTCCTGCTGGTTATAATGAAGCCGAAACGAAGTCGACCCTAATGTTCGGTATGCGAGCCAAGACCATCAAGAATCTGGTAACGGTGAACGAAGAAATTACGGCTGATGAATGGCGTAGGAGGTATGAGCAAGAAAAAGAGAAGGTTTGTAAATCACATACTATTGTAAGTCATCTGGAGAGTGAATTAAAACGTTGGCGAGCAGGTAAGGAATACTTACTGTGACTGTTTTTTGCTTAAGTTTAACTTGAAAGTTTTGAAATTAAGGACTCAGAATTGTTGATATCGTACCAATTACGGGAATTCAACTTGAGCTGTTTCTGCATGACAGTTGTGTTGATTCGTCTTTTCGTAAATTGTATCTTTTTGAGTAGGAATAAAGAATGTAAATGATGGGAATGTGAACCAATAGCACAGAGGGAAAGTAAGATATTGATGTGGGAGTATACTTGAAATATTCAAGGTATCAGCAGCATAAAGTGACTGAGTTGCCCAGAGCAGATATCTCGTGTATCGGACCGTAAGCCACAAATATTTTGTGAAGACTAATGTCGTTGGAAACAGTTATAATTCAATGTGGAGAAATGACGTGTAGCAGTTAAGATCACTAGTGGAGTAATATTCTATTCTACTTTGGTATTGTGACAAAGTGGTCACAGGAAATCATTCCAATCATCACCCCTATCACATTGAACTCGTGTGTATGGGTTGAGGAAAGGTGTAATAATTCCAGCGAACATCGTGCATAAATATAGAAGTTGACTTGAACCTAATTTTTGTTGTCATATAATCTGTGTTATATGTTAAATTTCAGGTGAAACTGTTAGTGAAGCTGATTGGTTCACGGAAAGTCAATATGCTGGTGCCCTAGATGATACAAGAGATTCGACAACTACATCCAGTGTCCCCAGTACACCTATGCTAGACAGCGTCACTACTTCCACACCACGATCTGCTGCTCTCACAAATGCATCTCCAGGTAGTCTATTTCGTCTCCTGTTGGTTATTGTCCATTCATAATATTTTGTGTTAATACTATTTTTTACTTTCATTTGTCATTTCGCCTTATGTTATTGATGAGTTTTGTGTAAGTCGGTGAATCTAGTGACTTCTAACTTCCCTTCTCCACATTGTTTTGTTGGTGTAGTGAAGTAGTGATATTTTTCTTCTCAGTTGGTGAGGAAGTTAGCACTTGAGGTAGCTTCGTTTTCCCAATGTAGACATTGGTGGTAGGACTCTGTAGTTGAGGTTGCAGAAGCTCTCTGCGATCTAAGACGAAGCGGATTGCGTCAATTGACCGACAGCGTGGCTCTTCAGGTGTTTCAAGATGAGGGTGGTGAGTAGTTGAGTGGGTTAATTGGTGTTCTAGTCAATGTGGTGTGGTGGTCTTAGATAGTTTCATCAGATTTGTGTAGATGGCCAGGCTTCCCCTGTGCTGATCACAGGGGGATCAGACTGGTTGATATTGTATCTAGGATACTTTGGGAAATGAAACAGTCAAGCATACAGGCTTCAGTTCTAGGCAAAGGTGTATTATGATTTCCTCTCTATCCAACAGGTTTTGAGGACAAGCTTGTTTTTTAGAGTCCAGTATTTGACATATTTCTTGGCCTACACGTAGAATTTGACTTCATCTGACTTTTTGAGAAATGATGTTGACTTATTCCAGCAGACCTACTCGGGTATGTGCAGCTGTTTTGAGGGTATATGGAAAGTTGTGTTCGGTTGGCGATGATCAGTGTGCTTGCACTAAGAACGCTCACTGTCACTATCTGTACCTAATTTAGTTTGATGAATGACGTATTGGTGTTTCTTTTACATTGGTGTCAGTAAGTAGTTGCAAGTAATTCTCTTACCTCTCGGTGCTCGTCAGAAAGATATACCGTCAACATCGGAGAGAGCCTGTGATTTTCGGTGATTTGTCAGTCGTTACCGACATCTACAACGTTACTACCAAGCTGTTTAATCCGAAACTGACGTGAGTATGATCTTAGTGACAGCATCATGTACATGATTAGTTTTCATCGACGCTTATGACTGAAGGAAGTTTCGAATTGGCTACGGTCGAGTGACCATTGTGCACTTGTGTCAGTGTAGTGATTGTTGGTGTGAACATGTGAGGGGTGTTTAGACCGTCTGGCTGAGCTGAGGGTCCTTGGAATAGTGAAAATCATTAAGTAGAGACTCAGTACGGTAACTTGAACTTCTGTGCGGATCTGTGCTCTGATCAGTAATTCAAACAGAGGGTATCTTCTATACCAAGTAAGCTTACTAATTAATTAATTAAATAACTATTTGAACTACTGATTGGTTGTTATTTGTGTGTATTTCTGAGTGAACTGATGGCACTTTGCCAACCAAGAAGGTGTTGTTGTAATTCAGAAGTGTTTATTCCATTCTGATTATATGCCTGCCTCGACGTTTTATTCTGGTATGCGAAATTATCGAAATGTATTTGATGATTTGTCAGTTTCTTTTTGATTTAGTCTTGTTTTGTTGAAACCATGAGATATTACGCGTTCTTGTCGTATCATAAATACTATGTAGAATTTTGATCACCGTGTGTTGTTTTTTCTCTCAGCCTACACTCCGGTCAATATTTTTTTATTTTTTTTTATTGCCGCTGGTTTTACTTCAGCGAAAAATGTTGGAGATATACAATTACAGTTGCTTTATCAACAACTTGACGACAAAGATGATGAAATAAGTAAACAAGCTGAGACAATAGCACGTCTTCGACAGCAAATTGAAGAGCAAGATGTGAACAATTCTCTGCGTACAGAACGTGAGGGACATTTCACAGCTCTTCAGGTAAGTGGTAGTACATGTTTCGAACATGTTTTTATAAATTTATATATTCGTGGAAGTGTATTGAAAGTTGATATATTTTAGCTGTTATAATCAACTGCTTTTAACATTTGATTGATTTTCTGAGGTCCGTTGTGTTGCTTTCCAATTGGGGAGTAGAAGGCGGTGGGTGGAAGTTGAGAGAAGGCAAGACCCAATGGCCACTTGGATTTTGACGAATTTGTCGTTGAGTCATACCTATTGTATGTGAGCACTAGTTAATGATATAATAGTGTTTTTGTTGTCCAGAGATTTTTTAAAAAAAGGTTATTTTTGTAATAAATCTCTCATGTGTTTTTATGTGAACTAGCCTGGAGTGCTTTCTTCCTTCTCAGAGTGCATGTTATGTTGTTCGCTTATTTTAGTGAACTTTCAAGCAGTAATAACAGTAACAGCGGTGGGAGTAGTAGAAGAAGAACTGTGGTTTGACTGAAGTTCACTGGTGGTGATGATGATGATGGTGTAGGTGTGAGTTATCGTCATTCATAGTGGATGAGTGAGATTACTGAACTCACGTGGTACTCACACATTAAGTTGAGAAAGACTGTAAATAGATGAGATGTGGGAGGAGATTGTGGAAACTTTCAGACTGAAGTGTAGGTGTTTGTTTTAAGTATAGCCGTTTCATCATAATTGTGATGAATCGGCGGGTATTAGAGTACTGAAGTTATTTCGCTCTTCTTTGTAAAGCACATGATGACTGCCATTCGTCTTTGACAACCAGCAAACATGGATTTTGCCTGTCCATTAATCCCTTTATATTCTAGGTGGTATCAGTTATCCACTTTCATCCTTACTGCATCCTCCCTCCCTTCTTCCTCATCCCGTCTACTCTGTGGGAGAAATACTCACTGAAGTCAACATAACTCACCTAGTATTGTATTGATAGGATTATTATGCTCACAGTTTTGTAATTTTTGTGAAATGTCCCGTCTAAATGCAGTTTTTTCTCCCCTTATTGTGTGTGTGTGTGTGTCAAGGCAAAATACCAGTCGAGGAAAGATGAAGCGAAAGAAGTCCTGCAAGCCTTAGAAGAATTAGCAATGAATTATGACCAAAAGGCTCAGGAGATTAATGCGAAAGCGAAAGAACTTGAAGAGACTCAGGAAACCTTGCTACTACAAACCAGTTTAATGCATAGTAAAGACTGTGAACTGTCACAGTTGAAGGATGCACATGAAAATCAGAAGAAGAAATATGCTGAAATGATGTCTAGCCTGTTGAAGGATCTAATTGATGTTGGTGAATGCTTGAATGATCGAATCACGGTAGGTTTAAAAGTATTTATGAATTTTGTTTTATTATTGAATGGGTTGTTATTCTAAGGATGTGAGCACCCTGAGTAGGGAAGTAATCATGGCGCATACACTGCTTTGATAAGTTCACTATGGCGGGATGAGCGTGTTATCGTCGCATAGAATCTGGCCTACTTGCATAAGCTGTTGTTGCCACATTAAATTACATTAGTGGAGTAAATAATAAGAAGTAAGATGATGGGATGGATCATTACCTAGTGACGTCTGGGATCGCACTCAAATGAATGATAACGCAACGCACAAACTATCCTTCTACGGCGCCACATCATGGTCTGACCACTTCTCGTTTCGCTTTGAATCAGAAGACTGTCAGACAGTGAATGGTATGGGAGCTATCAAGACAGCATTTGTAGCACGTGCTGAAGCCATGGAAGGCGTCATCGCAAGATGATATCACTTTTGAGAGAAGGACTATGTCTACCGATTTGTTTGTTCTTCTATGCAAACATGTGTTGAAATTCAGTCAGTCAATTATCATAAAAACATCCATTCAGTTCCAGTATTATTTCATCCGAACTTGCTGCCTATTGTGTTATCAATGCGGTTTTAATCCGTAATTGGGCAAAATGGACATCCTTCCTCAGTGATTATATTCGTGTTATCTTTTGTATTATCCAATCTTCGTGTTTATTAGATTTTGTAATTTTATTAATTTGATTCTTCACCGACCGGAAATAATTATGAGACTTTCTCACCCACACACGAATTTACGGCCGAGTTGATGACTTGATCGAAAAGAATATTTTCTCCTCTGTAACCGTCTTTTTGATTCTGTACAGGGGAGAAAACATGTTTATATTAGTGAGTGTAACTGGAGGAAAATGTAGTCAAGTTAGTTAGTTAGTTGGTCAGTACGTTCGACTACTGTCTCTTCTTATCAGGGAATATTTCTCGAAACTTTCTGAGACAGAAAGTGATTAACTGAGACGTACATGTATGTGGCTGGCAAAGAAAGTTCTCTATATAATTGACAGAGACTAATACATCCAACTTTCTGCAGTGTAAAGTTGTTTGTGGTACATAACGGAAGGTGACAGTGGCCTTACTGTGTTGCCTATTCTATTTCATTGACTTTCTGTTGAAAAAGGCGGTATTGCTTCAAATTCGAGTCCTGTCTCACCCATCCCTCAAAAAATAAGTTCAGCTCATGGTATAGTGTTACTAGAATTGTGTAAATGGCTAGTCCATTTCTGTATGCATCACCCTTGTCATCATCAACCTTACATGATGTTGTGATACCTTCTGAAAGTGAATATTTTGTTTTAGGAAATCTGAAGATGGAGATATGAACCCCTGTGACATTGTATTACAGTCAAGAATATTTCGGCTGATCTATTTTAACAGATGACATCGTTTTGTGTCAGCTAGATTGATAGTTGTTGAGTGAGGGTTTTGTCGACTACGTTTATTAGTTCACCGGTTAGGATTAAATGTCATGGGGCTAAATAGACTATTGGACCTCAATCCTCTGCGTTGGAACTGATTACTCTGAAATGACTAGTCAGTTTGGGAAACTTCATTTTCATCTCTGATTTGTTATTTCTACTCCGACTGTTGATTACAATTCCTCATGTTTTCTTTTTCCCTCCCTCATTCTCCCTCCTTCGTTTTCTGTTGACGACGATATCAGAAACCATCCGTTGGTTCTGAACGATTAGATGAAGAGTTTACTGTTGTTCGTTTGTATATAAGTAAGTTGAAAACTGAGGCGAAATTACTGCACTCACGTGTACGTCAACTGGAAGAGGAATGTGTGCAACATGTACAGTTAGTGCGTAAGAGTGATGATGAATCTAAAGATCTTCGAAGACAACTTCATGCTGTAAGTCAATTATATATGTTGTATTGTTATGCATGAAAGCCGAATCATAATAGTTCAGTCGGAATGAAAGCTAGTTGTCAAGTGTAGAGGTATGGTGGACAGATGATACATCGTGACTCCGTTGGCTTAATCACTTGACTTTTAGCTTCATTGTATGACGAGCTGACACCTGTTGTGTTAAAGATAAAGCTATTATCATGACTCGCATTTGCCAGTTTACGCCGACTCTGGCGTAGACGAGATGTTCGACTATCGACCAAAGGGCTGGTGTATTGCTCATCAGTACGCTCCGTCCTCCTTTATGGTTGTGAGACCTGGCCACTCAGAGTGGAAGACATGAAAAGACTAGCTGTCTTTGATCATACGTGCCTGCGCTCTATTTCCCGTGTAAAGTGGCATAATAAGGTGAGCAACATTGAGGTTAGTCGTCGAGTGCTAGGTAAACAGGGGAAATCAATCGACGAAGTCGTGAAGTTACATCGACTGAGGTGGTTGGCACATGTGTTACGTATGCCAAGCCATCGCCTCCCTCGACGAGCAATGTTGGCTGATATTGGGTCAGGCTGGAAAATAGCTAGCGGCGGTCAAACAAAAACTTGGCCGAACCAGTCAATAAAATCCACAACAGTTGGTCTAAGCCACGTAGGAAGGTGTAGACTTCCAGGCTGGGGTCCTCGGGACGGTAAAAACCAATGGTTGGAAACAATTGGTGACATGGCTCAAAATCGTTCTCAGTGGCTATCGCAGATGCATCCACTCCTTGTGACTTATGATCTCCAATGAAACTGTTTTGTTCTTCGTTATTACTCCTCCTTTGTCTCACACCTCTGCTCACTGTTTCTATTATGCTTTTCTTGTACTTTCTTCTCTTGCTTCGCGTGCTACACGGAATGTGGCGACTTGAACTTCCGCACATTTGTGCATAGTTCGATGTCGAAAACAGACAGACAGACAGACATTATCAAGACTTACAAGCCCAATGAATGTGTTCAAGGCTTTGAAGGCGTTATCTACTGGGTCTAGGGATGTAAATATACCTACCTGAATGACAAATGGAACGGGATCCGCTTCCTGAATTTCTCAGTTGTTCAATGACATAGTCGGATGGATGATGATGGAACGTAGTTGATAGAACTTTGATTGGATGCAGGAAATGTATGTGTGTAGCTCAGTGATTTAAGCAGACCATTGCATTCATCGCACACGGATATGTGTGATTGATGAAAGGAGGATTAACAGTTCGTGTGTCTGTTCTGTTGAGAATTTATCAAAATACGGTGTGTTGAGGAGTTGAATTGAAGGTGACTATGCAGAAGTTTGTTTATACAGCTGACCTATTACTCATTGGGGGTTTAGTCATTTAATTGCTAACCATTGTTTGACGGGTTGTAATTCCTCCACAGCTGGCAAGATTTGATCATTTGGGTGTGTGTGAGTATGGATAAGCTCTGACACTGCAGTAGATGTGCAACTCTGGTTAGCAATAAACGGTGTGTAGATGCAACTGATTAGTTGGCTGGTTGGTTGGTTGGTTGTTGAGTGGTAAACATTTATAGTTATTCACACTCGACTTAAGTAATGTTTATATTTAGGTAGGTGTTATTTCTAATGTTACTTCTAAGCATTCCTTCATTTTTAATATGCCTTTGTGATTTCTTTTTCTTTCTTGTTAAGTTTGAGGTGAAAGTTGGCGCCCTAAGCGATAAAATTGACGAGTCAGAATCACGTAAGCGTCAATTGCAGGAGACAGTGGATAGCTTAAATGCGGAGTTGGCAAAACTACGCGCTAATGAACAATTGATCGCCATATCTGGTCAACAAAATGAACAAATAATAGCTGATCAGTCAGCGTTACGAGCAAAATTAGATGAAGAGTTTAAACGACAATCAGAGTATTATGCTGCTCAGGTGAAATCTCTTCGTGATGAATTAGACGAGAAACAGAAGAAGTTGGAAGAATATAAAGAGTAAGTTGTCTGTTTCTTGATAGGTGTGTTGTGGAGATGATGATGTGGTCCACTGACTTGAACTAGTCGAATTTCAGCCCATAGTCCCTCATCTCTATTTCCACCTGTCTAATTGTGAGTGGTAATTTGAGGCCTTTCTTCACCGAGTCACCGGGTTGGTGTTAGCTCATACAACAGCCTATCTGAGTGAAAAGTGTGTTCAAATCAGCAACCAGCATGTATACTGTGAGAGCATGTCAGTTGAAATCTCTTAGCACGGTAGGTTGTCTTATTTTCTGTCAGCCAGTGAGCAACTGTATGTGCACGTACAACATATTGAATGTCCACGTGTTGTATCATCGTCGTTATGAACTCGGTAGTTTGATGTTATTGGGTTTACTTTGCTTCGATAATGACCATGATAATGTTCATATATCCGAGTGAATATTTTTCTTATTGTTTGAAAGTGTACAGAAAGGTTCAGTTGAGTCTGGTTGGTTTCTCTGAGAAGAGTTAGACACATGAGATGATTACAACCAAATATGCGAATATCTTTGGCGTTTTGTATGCATAATCATTTAGTTAGAGCATTATGCACACTATCGCCTGGACAACATCGTTTTTAACTAAAGACAGCACGATTGTGAATGTAGATTGTGTTGGGGAAGCAGGAGAGAGTTTCCAATACTGTCAACCTACTGCTGCTCAACACATATATCGTAGTAGGTAGTCGAGGAAAGACTAAGGTGTGGTTGTGGGGAGCAATAAAGAATAACTGGTAAGATGGAAGATTTAACAAATTGTAAAAGTTGAGGTTCAGTAGTTCCTCCTCATTTCTATTTTTACTCTCATTTTTACATTCACAGTGAAGCTAATACTTTCAAATTCCAATCCGAGAAATCACAAGAGGAGGTGAAACAGTTACGTGAAGAATTGGAGACAAAGACCAAACGGCTAGACGTATTTGAGAAGACAGCTGAAAAACGTGAACAGGCCAAACAAGATCTGCGTGGTCTAGAAGAGACAGTCACCAAAGAATTACAAACTCTACACAATTTACGACGATTATTCATCGAAGATCTGAATAGTCGAGTTAAAAAGGTTTGTGATGTGTGAGAAATGACAATGTCTGTTTTGTCTTTCTTGAGTGATATTGTGAATGTGTTTTGATACGTTGTAAATGTGGCATGTTTTGTCTCTCTTCTGCATCACACCAGAGTGGCTGTGTATGGATGGACTCCGTTGGGATGGATGTTTTCTAGGATTGAAGAGGACGAGGATGTGAACAATAGATTTTCAGCTATCGTTGAAGTATAATTAGCTGATGCAACTCAACTGGTAGACCCTAATTTGTTCATGAGGAAGGCAGCTTCTTTTGTGAAGCAGCTCGTCAACTGTGGTAGGTTAATGATACCTCTCTGGCTGTCAGAATGTTTAGTAGGTTATTCCTTAGAATCTAGACGTTGAAAGCACAATTATAGGTGTGCTGTTTCAGCCACTGTTGATTTCCAAATGGTTGGAGGCGGTAAGCGAGAGAAGCACTTGACGTAGGTTTGGTGCTTGTCGCCATTCATCAGCAAGGCGTATCCGCAGTCTTGAAGGAACTCATATTCCCTGTGAGATTGTAACCTGATGCCGCAGTGGCTATTCCTGCTACCGACTGACCTCCTTTAGGACTGTGATGGATGGATGGTTTGGTTGGACAGTCGATAGCAACTAATTGCATATTAGACAAGTTTACTGCAAATATCACACAGTGATTGCAGTGTTATTAACTGGATGACGTTTTGAGCACAAGTCACTACACTCATAGCCATATCAGTTAAGTCACACACCGTGACTATCAGTGGCAATAATATGTGCTCGAAACATCATTCAATTATTGATCAATACTGCATCATCACGGTGTGATATTTGAAATAGACCTATTTATTGTTGAATTACATTCTACCACGGTGTTCAAGTTCTGCACTTACATACACCAGTAACTAGTGTCACGCGTCCAGTCCTTGGTTTGTTGCAGACTTCTGTCTGTCTCTGTCTGGATTCAACATAGAACTTGGCACCGAAGTGCACCAGTTCGAGTTGCCACGTTCCAAATAGCACACAGAGGTAGACAAGAAGATGAGTGATGAGAATCAATAGAGTTTGACAAGTATAAGAGTGAAACAGAATGGGTAATGGTAGAAAGAAATATGAAAGATTACAGAGACTGAATACATCTGCGCTGGCCATTGACAACGATTTTGAGCCATGTCACCTATTGTCTCCAGCCATTGATTCCTAGAGTCCCGAGGGCCCCAACCCGGAAGTCTGCATCTCCCTGCCTGACTCAGTCTGTCAAGGATTTCATGTATTGATGAGGCCATGTTTTTGTTTGGCCACCACTTACTCTTTTCCAACCTGCACCTATATCAGCTAGTAATGCCCGTCGGGGGAGGCGGTGGTTAGGCATGCGCACCACGTGACCTAGCCATCTCAATCTATGTAACTTTATAGCCTCGTCGATTGATTTTCCCTCTTTGCCCAACACTCTACGCCTAACGTCAACATTACTTACCTTATTAAGCCACCTAACGTGAGAAAGAGATCGCAGACATCTATGATCGAAAGCAGTCAACCTTTTCATGTCTTCAACGCGTATTGGCCATGTTTCAGAGCCATAGAGAAGGATGGAGCGAACTGATGAGCAGTACACACGTCCCTTGGTTGATAACCGGATGTCACGCCTACGCCAGAGATGGTGTAAGTCAGCGAAAGCAGCTCGAGCTTTTCGGATCCGTGCTGAGATTTCATCGCCAATCAGTCCGTTGGTGCTAATACAACTTCCCAAGTAGGTGAAGTGGTCAACATGTTCTATCACTTCACTCCCTATCACTAAGCTAGGAGTTGACGTGGTCCAGTCCTGTAGCAGCATCTTACATTTTGTAGGGGCGAATCGCATGCCAAACATACGAAGATTGCTGCTCAAGGTGTTCAGAAGACTCTGCATTTTGTCAGCATCCTCCCCTAACAGAACTATGTCATCTGCATATTCTAGGTCCATAAGACTATTCCCTGGTAACAAGTCGATTCCTAAGTCATTACGTTCAGTTAAGGATACTTCCATCAGCATATCTATGATGAAGTTAAACAGAAATGGGGAAAGTGGACATCCCTGTCGGACACCACTGGTTGTTACCAATTCAGATGACAATTCCCCATAAGCCCTTACACGACTACGTGAGTTTGAATAGAGTGCCTTGATTAGTGCAATGTACTTTCTTGGCACTCCCTTCACAGTCAGACATTGCCATAGTACCTTTCGATCCACGGAGTCGAAGGCCGCCTTCAAGTCAAGAAATATGGCAATTGTTGGACGCCGAAAAGTGTGCCTATGTTCTAGAATCTGTCGAAGAGTGAAGATATGATCTATGCACCCTCTACCTGGTCTAAAGCCTGCTTGATTTTCCCTCGTCTGTTCCTCCCGAGTTCTGCTTAGTCTATGCATGATTACTGAGCCTAGGATTTTAGAGACTATGTTCGTTAGGCTGATCCCCCTATGATTATCACACGAGGACTTGTTTCCCTTCTTGAATATCGGTATAATAAGTGACTTACCCCAGTCTGATGGCACTGTCTCTGATTCCCAGACTTTGCCTAGTACCTCAGTTAATCTACAAACTAGTATGTCACCCCCATATTTAAACACCTCCGGAATAATTCCGTCGGGTCCTGCCGCTTTGCCTCGTTTCAAATTACTGATAGCTTTTGTGACCTCACTTACAGACGGCGGACCAGTGTCTATATCCCATTCGGGTGTGTGGTGGATGTCGGGGAGGTTCAGTGTGGCTGTAGGCAAGTTAAATTGTCCCTCAAAGTGTTCTTTCCAGCGTTCAAGGCGTCTATCCTGAGAGCTAATTAAGCAACCGTTTTTCTCAGAAATAGTCTCACTTATGATTTGCCTTCTCCCGCCCGTTTCCCTGATGAGTCTAAAGAGTTGCCTAGTGTTGCCTATCGCCGATGCTTTTTCCATCTCTTTTGCCTTTGTCAGCCACCACGGTTCACGGTCCTTGCGGAGACTTTTAGTAAGTTTCCTTTTGTGCAGCTTTCGCTCCTCATTGAATTCGGAGCTCGCCGGAATAAGTCTTCTAGCATCTATCAGTTCGGATGAGGCAGTCGAAATCCAGTGGTTTTTACTCGAAATCCTGGTGGTTTTTTGGCTTCCATCGTTTTTAGTGGACACAGAGTGAAGAGGGAGTGAGGAGCCATCAAGTAGGGGAGTTGCATCAGTGGAGGAAGGCAAGGTAATAGAGATGAAGATGAAGACAAAGATGAGTGAGGATTAGAGAGGTTTTGTGTGCATTTCGGATTGTGAGGGCGTTTGTTACTTCCCGGCTGCCCACACCGTGGAAGTTGGTTGCGTGACCGCAGAGCCCAGGGGACAACTGCTTGAGGCCGGTCACACGCAGCCTGTTTTTGTTTGGTGTGTCTCAGTAGCATACTTATCACTCCTGCCCTGTGACACGGCAGCAGGAAGCGCGGTCGTTGTTAATCCGGGCCACGGCCGATCCGGCATGAAATTTTGTGAATTTGTTTGAATCATGGTATTGGATGGGGTAGCTGCTTTTTGTTTAACCGCTATCCAAACAACTTGCAGACTTCAGTTGCAGTCTTGTGTCCAATCAAAGCACTGTTGGTTTCGTTTTTATTAAGAAATGTAATCTGTCCTCAAAAGACCTACCAGAATGTAACTAATGTGAGGGCTGTTTATAATGTTTAGTGGATGTAGGCAAATAATCGTCAAACAACTGTGGAAGGATTTGTGTCTCATGTCATGGTGTAGCTAATTGTCGGTTTAAGCGGGTTCTACTTTGAGCTGTGGACTCTGGGTCGTAATCCCCTCCACCTAATTGATTCTGCTAATGAATGTGGCTGATGTCCTGTTACATTGAGAAACTCATCCTGGGTAAGTGGATTCTCACAAATGTGTTCTTTTACGTTCTCAGTGGAGCAAGGGGACTCCAAGCTAGAGGGTTGGTGTTTCGGTAGCAGTGGTGTTTACTTTTACGGGATGGGGTTGCTAACCTCATGCCCAACCCAACCTTCCCTCTTCACCAGTCCTATTATTGGCTCAGTGAAGTAAAGCAGCGCGTTTGTGACCGGGAATCGAACCCCGGACCACATGAGGCTTGGTCGGTGGGCATTCTACCTCACTCTATCCCATTATTGATTGTGTGATGACCGCTCATGTGTGTATAGTTTTATAAGATTTTAACATTGTGGATTCAAGTGTAAAATTCCATGTTAGTTATTTTAAATGTCCCGATTTCTCTTTTAGTCTGCAAATGGTGTGAATGAACTTACAGTGACTGAAAAGGACGCAGGTAACCAGGAAGGCGGCAATATGGCCAGTCAACAACAAATCTCCGAAAGTCTATTCATGGAGGGTGATGACGATGAACCAGGTGAAGCTGGCTCACTGGCTCAAAGGCAAAAATTTGCCCTCCTTGAAAAAGATCATGATAAATTAACTAAAGTGCGTAGACAGCTTTTGCATGACAACGCGGAGCTACGTTGTGAACTTTCTAAAGTGGAAAAACGTCTTGAGGTTAGTTGGTTGGTTGGTTAGTAATTATCATCACCTTTTCTCTCTCTCTCTATCTTGTCCTTTAAATGAAATACAGACTGTTCATTGTAGATTTCATCCACTAACCGACATAAGTATTGACATTTCGCTATGCAACTAGGGCCTTGAAAATAACGAGGCGAGATCGCTTGTGATTATTCAACCATTGGGATGAGATTCAATCATCACGTATGAATTCTAACTGCTGGGAAATAGTGATGTCGATGATCATCGTGGAGACGGCTAGTTTGACATTAGCCGCCAATTTATAGCTGTGATGAGTTAGACATGGTCATTGGATGTGGAAGACATGAAAAGGCCGGTTAGTTGTCTTTGATCATAGATGTCGGTGTTCCACTGTTAGCTGGAATAACACATGGCAAGTATTGTTATGGTTGGAAGTCAAATTCTAGTTGGGGAGGTAAAATTAGTCCACGAGGTTGTGAAGTTAAATCGATTGAGATGATTAGTACATGTGTTACGAATGTGTAGCCACCAATCGCCTTCCTTGACGGGTTGGGTGGGTAGTGTTAGCTGCTGGCATGTAATGGATCAAGTTGGAAAAGAGGCAGTGATGGTCAAACGAGAAAACCTGTCTTCGCCAGTCAATGAAATCCACAACAGTTAGTTTGAACTAGCCAACTAGTCAGTCAGGTAGCGATGTGTCGACTGGTGTCTGGTTGATGTCCTCGGGATGGTAGGAAGCAGTGATGGCTGGAGACAATTGGTGGTATGGCTCAAAATCTTCTTCGCTCAGTGATGGCTAGCGCAGATGCACTCACTCTTTGTGATTTGTCATATCGAAGAAAACTGGATTGTTCCTTCCATATTACTATTCACTTTACTAGATCAGACTACTGTTTACCATCCGTCTTCTGATGAGTCTCTCTTTACTTTCTTATCTTGGTTTGTGTGCTAGAAGGATGGAGAGTGACAGCAAAGTTTTATGTTGAGACCAGTCAGTCAGTGGTTGATCATCCGCGAAGCACACAGACATGTTATCAAGACTTTGTTTATGCAGCTGTACCTCCATCTGACAAGTGATAGCCATCGTGATATCAGATGTGTGTGGCATAGAGATGAGGAAAATGAAAAAGGTACTTCTCACCGAGTTAGTCAGTCAGTTAGTTAGTTATGGCCTGACACATAATTGATGTGTTATGAATGAATATTGTGTATATGGAATGGAGGAAAGTGAACTGAGTTTTCAACGTAGATCATCACTGTACAAAATACAACAGTTCCAACTGGTTACACTTCATAGATAGATGTACACATAAATAAACTGAAATGTCTGAGAGGAGGAATGACTACATCGCGAGAATAATGGATCCTTGATAGATTACAAAAATGTGAGTGGATGTGCATCATTGAAAGTAATTTTGAGCCATCTAATGAAGAATTTGCAGTTCCATCGGGATAGTGAGTCTTAGTCTGCCTCATAATTGTTCACCAGAAGGCTGATGGGTGAAAGGATTTGAATCCAACCAGTCACCTGGCCCTGAGCGTAATTCAACCTGAGCATCTGGGTGGCTAGCAGCATCGTTGGAAGTCTGTATTTTTTGTCTATCTACATACCCTAATACTTTTGGAGTTGACGACGTTATTAAGTGTTAGAGAGGTAGACTGGCTTTCTTCAGTAATTCTTAGTGTGTGTGCTTTGCTGCTGGCTGGTCTTGACTGACACCATAGTTTGCGTTTTCACTCGAGAAATAACGTAGTCATCTTGAAGAGTTATTTTGTAGAGATCCGATTTGTTTTAAGTTTGACACCAGTGAAAGAATTATTGGAAAACCAGGGTGATGTACTGGACAGTATGGGACTGTTCAGCAGTACGCATCCATTGGTGTTCCAACTTTCAGGATCATTGATTTTTGGTCACTTGTAGTAACTGAACAAATCCTGGCTACGGATGACATTGGCTGGTGACAGTCGCGTTAAAATTACGATTTGGAAGAGGTTAGAATTCATATGGCAGTGGATTGGATTCCGGTGTCGGAATGGTGTGAGAGCTTGACTTACAACTTTCAGGTGCAGGGTGCGTACTGCTGAGTAGTAATTCGAGTCTAGAGTATAACAACCCCCAGTTGTCACTCCCGGATTCTCCAATGTTTCTCTGAGCTTGTGATAAAAACTGCAATGTAGCCATCATTAAATTTAAAAGGAAGTGAGTGTTTGAAGTCTCATGTGAATAATAATAATAATAATGTGTTTAGAAATTAGTGGATAGGTGAAATTGATCTGCGGGAAATTGAATCTCCTGATCTCACGATTGTTCATAAATGAAGGGTTGAGGAGTTCTCTGGACACAGAGAGAGGACGATTTGACAATTTTGGGGACAATTTTTCACCGACAAGTATTCTGATAACACAGATGAGAAATGTGTTTAAATGTCAATGGTTATATCTCCACCTATTTTGTTATGTTTTCTTTCTCTCTTTCTTTCTCATAGTGTACTCTGGAGCGTGTACACAGCTTAGAGTTATCATTGAAAGAGGCTAAGGAAGGGGCTATGCGTGATCGTAAACGCTATCAAGTTGAAATTGAACGTATCAGAGGGGTTGTCCGTCAACAGAATATCACTGGACGTCGTGGTCAATCACAAATCGCTAAACCTATACGTGCTGGACATCCACCAGTGTCCACTGCTGGCGGTGGTGGTGATGGGACAGTAGTGACACGATCACATATTCCAGGGTCATCATAATCTCTCATATACCCGTAGTGATGATTATTTTTCTATATATGTACATATGCTTTCTTCAGAGTTTCATCTAAGTAGACTGTTGGTGAAGAGCCCCTTATGCTGCGTATGGACGCGCGTGCATTTGTGTGTGTGTATGAATAGGTATTAACAAAGATATCAAGCCCTTAGCAGAAAGTTATGCGAGTACTATTCCACAGACCTGTGTCTTTGTGTGATGTTATGTGCTATTTGATTTTTCTCTATCTTTATAATATATATTTTATCTCACATGGTGTTTTTCATCATCACATCTGTGGTTGGGATAAGGTGGTATGGGTGAGTGGGTGGGGTGGGAGAGGGAGGTGAGGAACACACAGTTTGTAAATATCATTACTGTTGTTATCACAGGAACGCCTGACTTTTTCATCACATATGTTATTGATATAATTGCTATTATTAGTATTCAATTGGTGGATGGTGAACAGTAGTGGAATCCAGGATAACGCGCATTTGGGACGTCCTATTTGGGACTCGTCAACTAGCTGGATTTCCCAGTCAGTGATGATGTTTCTAACACTGAAGCTCGAAACCAGTGTTCATAGTTTCAAACGCCAAAGTGTTATCCAATAGACTACTTGGGCCAACGACGCTCAGACATCGTAGAAGCATCTGCACAAGAAGCCGACAGACATGTCGTCCTGAGATCGAGCACTTCGGTCCAATCAATCGACGGGAAAATCTAAAATTCAGTTAATATTATTATTATTATGACTAATTGCACAGTTTTATCATCCTGCTGACTATCACATACGACAGCGATTGGCTTATATTTTAATATTTATCTGAAAAGTTATGTAGGTATGTCGAAGAGTTAAGCCTGATGAGATCTTTCTATTATTATTTTTATTTTATTCCTTTTCAGTAGCAAACTCACCCCACTGCTACTGAAACTTCTAAGCTCTCTAGCTTGAAGCCATCTGTTCCACACGGAAAGTAAGGGAATAAAATACAGTTCGCCTGTCCTTTTGGTGAAGATTTTGTGTTATTTTCAGACATCTGAATATCCTCACCGAAGTGAAACAGTGTGCAATGTCAACCGTAATAGAAACCCTTTATCGGCTACAAAAAGCCAAGGTATTCTTCGTTTCCGACTTAGATCGGGCCACTGTCAGGTCACAATAACAGAAAGCGATCGAGGCAAAATGGCTTTCACGGTTGGACAGGAACAATACCAGTTTAAACGAATATCATTTGGATTGGTAGGCAACCCTTTTGCATTCGGATGAGTGATGATCTTACTACTAGAGTGTCTGAAGAATGTAGAATTATGTGGAGACGAGTTGGTTGTGTATAGTGAGACAGAATGCGATCATATGGACCATCTGGGAGACATTTTGAAGAGAACTGATGAAAGTGGACTGCGCATTATAAAGAAAAAGCGCCAAATACCGAAAGGAAGTCTTATCCTAATGGATTAGACTGTGGGTGTGGGGCTTTATCCTTAGGTGAGTTTGCCTGTCACACTTAGAAAAAGACTAAATTCTCTTACCTAGGTCTTAAGCAGTGCTCTGCTTATCCTGCAAGTACCGAGGGACGAGTGAAAAGCAGAAATAATAAGGATTCGCAACGTGCCTGTAACCACTGGCATGTTTATAACGAATGTGATAGAATTCGATAATACAAAAAGGTTTACAACTTATTTGTACCCAAAGGAGTAGCGAGCTCGAAGAGTGTGCTCATATAGGAGCGCAGCGAGAGAGCAAGCATGTTGGCACCAAAACGTACAGGAAGCGAAGTGCAGTGAAGTGTAGCAGCGGCAAATTTGGGTGAGTGAGTTATAGTAATAATGTATATTTTCATATAAATTTACATGAAAATGCATGTCATCGGTAGTAGGAGCATCTACATCTACTTCGTGGGTGTGGTCAGTAGATTTACTAGGAGTGTTCTCACGAACTTCGAGACCAATTACAGTGTTACTGCTATTTTTGGGTTTCCCTTCGCCTTCTTGTGTCGTTTGTTCATCTACTACAGTGCCAGTGTCACTTTGTGCTAGAGTGTTATAATAATAATTTTTATTTTCATATAAACATAAATTTACATGAAAATGCATGCCATTTTTACAGGCACGATCAAGTATGATATAATCTCAAATCATAGATTGTCTACAAGTTAATAATGTTTCAACAGCTAAATATTTGGATATGTATATATATATATACTCATTGTCTGAACCAGGCCGTATAGTTATTGAATTGTACAGTTGTCCTCCAGGTTGTGCGGGAAACAAAAGTTCAGAGGTTCAGTGTACACTACAAGAGAGCGGGAAATGGATACTAATAAGTGTGTAAAATTTGGGCACTGTAGTGGCAGGTAATTTCATATCAGTTTGCTTATTAAATTGTGCCACACAGTCACAGAAATAGTATTATTTGCTGGATGACGTTTCGAACACAATTCACTTATTGTTCATAATCATTTGATCAATTATAATCACACGACTTCGAAACTTGAGTTTTATAGTTTTCTTTGCCCTCTCCTGTTTGTTGTCGTAGGGGTAGTAGGATTTTCCAGATGTTCGGCTTGACAGGTGTTGAATCATTCCTATTACACGTATTTTCAGGTGATTGGATGAGCAAAGCTTCTGTTATCAATCCTTTCCCTCCACCCTGCTGCTACATTAGATTTTAAAACTGTCATCTCACCCTATCCCATCCCATTGTACGGTTGTATTGTGTGTGATTGCATGTTGTGAGTGTTATAGCTGAACTATTCTCTAGATTTCTCATCTTATTCGGGTCAAACAATCTAGATTTCGCTAGGCTTTTATGCTGCTTTACTAGTCTGACTGCACCTGTTCTACTACTCTGGCTTATGTATGTGACCTGACAATAATTGCAGAGTATTAGATAAACTAAATTGTTTTGTTTTAAAGGCTCCACAGGATCATTTAACCGACAAAGTTTTTTTCCCATTGAGTTTGTGGGCTTGAATGCCAGCCACTTTTATTCTTTCCGGCATTGTTAAGGATTCTCTGTAAGGTTTCCGAGGTTTCTCCCTTGTATGGAATTAATACTGACGACTTAATTTTCTTATTGTTGGTGTTGTCTTACACATATTTGACATGCATGTCGTCACTATTATTATTATTATCACTATCACTACTGTCATTATTTATTTTATTTTTACATTTCCCTACATACTTTTTGATTAATTTATCAGGTTAATTATGAAGTTTCAAAGCTTCACATATATGCTTCACTTCCTATCTTGGATTTCGCTTTGTTACTACTTAGTTTTGTGCTCTATTATTTGAACATTTCACCAATCCTATTTTCACTGACATAAGATGGGATGATTGGAAGTTTAAATATCTGTTTGAATGTGTGGGTTTCCTGTGAACACCAGTGTGTGTTTAACTTCCCATCCTCTTTCCTTTTTTACGCTACAATCTAACAATGGAATTTCCCCTTTCCTGACTTTTCAATTCATCATAAGTGAATTGAATTGCCTCTAACTTCGAGTCGATGTGTGATTCCCACATTGACATCTCTATTTTGTGCTGACTGCACTAAAACCAGCGTCGGACAGATAAGCTAATGAAGTATCTTCTATTTTGATTTTTCCTGTTAATAATGACTGATACTTGTCACTCATTGTTGGTCAGGTATCTTCACTTCTGTCTTCTCTATGTTCATATGAAGTCTTGTCTTCTCTGCTTTCTTCTGTTAATTTTCACGTGTAGTTCTTCAGTTTTATTTAACACTAGACCTGAATAGCCTGAATATCATAGTCAAGGAATGTAAGGTGTTAGATCAATATATGTAGGTATTATATCTCGCTTGAATGCGTTTTTATCTTTGTCATTGTTATGATTATTATTATTATTGTATTAAATAGCCACAGGCGCTTGTTATACATTATCTACGAATGTTTACTGATGATTTAAATGTTTTGTATTTCGTTTATAATAATTATTATTCGTTTAAATTTCTGGGGCAGTTAAACTTTTCAACATTTCAACAAACACGTATCCAAAAATCTGTTGAGATTTATTTGAGGCTAGTCGTTATTAGTTCGGCCATAATGAAGTCACATTGATTGAAACGATTAGGACATGTGTTACTCACACCTAGCCATCGCCTATCTTTCTCGATGGCCAGTGTCAATGTCCAGTTCTTACTAAGCTGGACCTCACTCTGTCACTGGAAGACTTTCAGAAACGATTGGTAATAACCAACGCGAAAAACCAGAACACAGATTGGCGACTCGAGAATCCTTTATTCGTACGCCAATATGTAGCAAAAAATAAGGATATTATACACAAGGTCTAAGAATAAATGTTATAACAATAGATTACAATAATACTTCTGATAGTTTTCTATCTTCCACTGAACAGCGAATGATGAGAAGATGACTGCTAGGTTGATGACTCCAACGAAAAATATGGAGGAGTTGGGTTTGAGCAAACAACCATGAATTGATCGTTCAATCTTCAACTACATTGACACTCGCCGGAAAAGAGGGATCCATCCCTTTTTTCCATCACGACCAATACACGTTGACTTGGATTTCATTGAGAGAACCTGGGTCACACAGACAAAGCTGAAATGGAAAACGAACAGCGAAGCCAACACAACGCAGGCATAACCACACCACAAACACACTCACCAATGACGACCTACGCCTTCCAGTTAAAGGCATCCTCTTGATATCTTGTAACATAATCGCCACTTGCTAGAATGACTCTTGTAGAACGCAATGTGACCATAGCACCACCTCATGATACTCTTCACAAATCCTCTTATCTATTCACTACCAACTACCACTGCGATCGCTTGTCACTCATTCTGACTCAGTTCTAGTAACAGTGACGTATGTAAGCCTTAGTCGTCTACATTCTTGCTCCCCAGCGTGTGGGACCACAGCTAATCCTTATCTCCGTGTGCATGTTATTCTCGGCACTAGCCTCCCCGGCGTATACGACCCATCTGCTGTCTTTAACATCAATCAATTCATTCACGGATGTAGAAGACTCGAAACAACTTCAGAAGTAAGTACGACGAAAAATTTAACGAAATTATGCAATAACAACAAGATACGAAAACAACAAGTAAACTCAATGAATCCTAAAACACCAATTGATATGACACACCACACATATATACATAACCTCGCCAATCGTGTCTCGATGTAATTCCTTTGAAGAATTGCAGGACTTACACCAGTACGCCTGCAATCCTTCTCAGGTTGACGATTGTAATATGAAGAATGTCTGGAGGCAAACAAGATTAACCAAC